TTTGTACTACTTTAATTCGTGTTCCGTGAGACAACCAAAATTTTAGAATTTTTGGAATATGACCATCCCTCACGTGATTAAGCATAATTATGCGACATAAAAATTTAAAAATTATTAACTTTTCAAAGTAACCAAACATCTATTTATATTTCTTTTTTTTTTGAATAAAACTAAATATAAACGTCTATTTATATTTCTTTTTCTTGAATAAATAACTAAATATTATACTTGAATCTTAAGTTTTATATAGCAATTTTAGACAAGAATCCAGCGGTCTCTACAAATAAAGGTAAAATATTTTATAAGAAAGTCTCTTTGAAATTTTGAATACTGAAACTTTGGGATTCTTATTATTTATTACAATTACAAATACAATTTATAAATTCGTATAAATAGTAATAGTAGTTTTTTAGGAATGAAATATGGGTTCCGGAAAATTTCAATTAGTGATCTGCGAAAATTTGCGCCAAATTCTACAATATATTAATATTAATATTAATATGAAACCTTTGCATTTGTCTCACGTATCACAAATTAAGTTATAAAACACATTATATGCATTTTTGTTTATTTACATTTCACCGACTTATTAAAAAAAAACTTTTTAATTCTCCAATACGTGATATTCCACTATAAACTTTGGCTCTTGTTCTTGTTGTATACAAATAAGGAGCTATTATATAAAAAGCTTCTTTGTCAAAACCGTATTTGAGATGTTTGATCTATATAAATTAGCAGAAAACAAAAATGAATGCATTCAAAACTTGCTCGGGAGAATGTTAAAAACGAACTATCATTCATTCATGAGAAAAGGTAAAAGATGGTTTATATGATTGTATTAATTATAAAAATAGTGAATCAGAATTGCAAAAATAATGAATGAATACTATAAAGAATCATTAACAAAAGATGCATCAAGAAGTCGCGTAACAACCTAAATGGCCAAATAATTCCAGCATCAAGAGGCCGGAGATGAGCTGTGGTGTTGGCAGAAAAATAAGAAGTTTAACAGCATTATCAAGTAACATAATAAATTTTTTATTTTCTGTTTTCATTTGCTTATATCCGATTTGAAAAATTGATGCCTGCATCCAGGCTTTTTATTCAAGTAATAATATACTAAAAGTTTTGGTTTTGTCAAT